GGATGTCTGCCTATAGCAAATGCAAGGCCCTGAGTTCAAACTCCAGCACCACCACCACCAAAAAAAAAAAAAAAATTCCCTCACTGTAATGTGGAGTCTATAATATATGTAGAAGAAAATTAAAATAACTCAAAAAGGACTGATGAAGATGCAAATTAAAGTACTGTGAACAGGTCTCATAATTGTGACATAATTCTAAAGTGGAACAACATTCATTCTAAATAGACTGGGATAAATTATGGATGCAAATTATACTTGCTGGGGCAATCACTTAAAATATTAAGAGATTACAGGTAAGGGTCCAATAGAAGAAATAAAAAGAAGTGCCATAAACATCTGGTGAACCCAAAAGATAATGAGAAAAGAGGAACAAAAAGTAAATTAAAAACCAATAGGAAGCGGGGAGAGGGTGGGGGAGGGGTCAGAAGGGGAGAAATGACCCAAACAATGTATGCACATGTGAATAAATGAATAATTAAAAAAAATACACACACAGGCACACACACATGCACACACACACAAAAAATAGAAAATAACTTCCAAAATGACAGGCTTAAATTATAACTCATATGGGATATAACTTACATTTCAATAAATATATGGAATACAAACATACAGTTCACTCTAGCTAAAAAGCAGAGATCATCACCATAAATTTTTAAAAAGATCCTTAAGATAGATACTTTCTTTTTCACATTAAACTTATTTTAACTGATTCATAAAAACATAAAAATTATACATATTAATGGGGTAATAAGAAATATTCTGATACATATATACATTGTATAATGCTTAAATTTGATTAAACATATCTTCTACAAAATTATCCTCTCTTAATAGTACAAGTTTTCAAAATCTTTCCTTCTAGCTTTTTGAAATGTTATCTATAGTGACCTTAGTGGCCTACAGCACCTCAGAATTGTTTGCTTCTATTAACTATAACTTAGTTCCTGCCAATCAACCTTTCTCATGGCTCTTTCCCTCCTTATTCTCTCCAGCCACCATTCTACTCTCAACTCTTAGATCCATGTATGAGTGAGGTCATGTAGTACCTGTCTCTATGCCTGGCTTATTTGACTTAACATACTGATCTCTAGCTCCATTCATGCTATTGGAAATCAGGATTTCCAATATATACCCACAGATTATATATATATATAATATATATATATTTAAATATATACCCACAGATATATATCATTTTAGGCGCTAAGCACAAGAAACTGGCATGGCTGGATTATTACATGAAGTGGACATTCAGACAAGGACTAGTACCTGAGATAAAGACAAACACTTCATAATAAAGAACTTGCTGATTCAACAGGTAAACAAAACAATCCTAAAAGTATATATACCCAGAGCTCCAAAATATGTGGGAAAAAAAAAAACTGATGCTTTCAAGAAACATACATGTGGAGATGAATCCACAATCAGAGTTGGAGATTTTAATGCCCTCCCTGTAGTAAATAGAACCACCTGAAAAGCAGGTGTAGTAAAAAGCACCTGAAAAAGCATCAACTAACCTGACCTGATGTCTTGGTGGCATTGACATTTACACCAAGATCTGCAAATCCACATTCTTTTAAGGGTACTTGAAGCATATACACAAAGGTACCCTAAAATGAGCTATAAAACAACTCATTAATTTTGAAAGACAGGAGTCTTACAATAGGTATTCTGAGCATAATAAAATTCTAAATTCTAAATAAAAATAAAAATCCAGAAAAGCACTAAATATTTGGAAATTAAACATCTCAATATAAATAACACTTTTTTTTTTTTTTGCTGGCACTGGGGGTTTGAACTCAGGGCCTCCTGCTTGCTAAGCAGGCGTTCTACCACTTGAGCCACTCCACCAGCCCTAAATAACACTTTTAATAACATTATAAATCACAAGAGAACTCAAAAAGGAAATTAGAAAATACCTGACAATGAAAAAGTAAAAGTAAAAAGTTGGGTCCTTGAAAAAAATTAACAAAATTGGAAAACTCCTTGTAAGATTCTTTTTGGAAGGAAAAGAAGGGAAGAGTGGAAGAGAATAAAAACAATAAGAAAAAATAATAACCAACATCAAGAAGAAAGAATGAGATATAACTACAGATCCTACAGATGTCAGACTCAGACTAAGACTATTACAAACAACTCTATACCAGTAAGTTCAGCAATTCAGTATATTTATATTATATAATACTTATAATACTTATAAAGTAAACTTTTTAAGATCTCACAGCTATTAATCTTATGCAAGTATGAGGGTGGGAAAGCATAAAATCACATATGTGATTATGTGATGATCTACAATCAACAAAGCTGATGTGTGGTGATAGAATCGGATCAGAGGTTGCACGGGGGGCAACAGGTGAACAGCGTGGAGATGACTATGGGGCACACAAGATATTTCTGGGATGACAGAAATGTTCTATTTGATGGAAATAGTGGTTATAGGTGTATACATACATTTAACATCTCAATTTACTGAGTTCAAATTTACCTCAATTTTTAAAAAAATCAAAGAAAACAATGACAGCAGGAAACAACGTGAATTTAGACAGAAAATTTTAAATTATTTTCTTTGGAGATTATCTTGTGTGCTACTATAAAATTAAAACAAGAATATAAACTTTTTTATTAAAAAATTCTCCAAAAATGCTTCCATTCTATTCTATATCCCAACAGAATTAACTATGGACCATGATACTTTCATATATTATACTGCTCAAAGATGGTATCTTTTATTCATATAAAATAAGATCTAGCATGTAAGATCTAGCATGATGCCTCGGGAAACTGCTGTTGTAAGTGAAAAAGCAAAAACCCTGGAGTCCGAGGACCTGGGTTCAAATGATCACTCTGTATGATTTATTAACTTTGTGACTTAGTCTCAGGTTTCTTCATCAACTCCAGGACTAATGTGAAGATTAAGGAATGTGAAAGGCATCTGATAAAGCATACCACAGGCATGTCACTCAAGGTGCTCTGATCAGATGACAAAGAGGAAGCACACAGACAGCATGGACAGTGAAACAAGCAGACAGGAGTGGGAGAAGTAGCATGCTTCCCTGCGTGTGGATCAGTGGAGGAGAACAGAGGCTTCCAAAGGACAATGGCCTAATGTCACACGCCCATCATGAGCAGCAGACACAATGGGTAGACAGGAACTGACTGACCTCTCAGCCTTTCCTTGCAGCCTGTGCTACAGTTAAGGTAACAGATGCCTCAACACTGACTCAGTTGTGGCCCTGATAAGTGCCTCAGCCTCACTTGCAAACCAGCAGTGCAGTGACCATGTGTACAGTAAGTGGCTGTTGGTATCTGTTTAAAACGGTCATCTGCTGCCTGGGCTAATGATCCCTTGTCCTGGCAAGCACGAAAGGGAAGCTACGTGTCTACCTAAAGCTCCAAGGGCTTTACCTAGGTTCCTCAGCATAGCAGTGAGTCTTCTACTACTGTGGACCTTTGCATGCCAACATCCCTAATGAATCACTGTTCGAAGTGTTCATAGATGTGGCTCTAAATAAGACAACCAGAGCAGATATTTTCTGGATCCAGAAGCAGGGACCAGGGCAATAGCACCATTAATACCTCATAGATTCAGCAGAGTACTGGGGAATGATCTACCTAGGCCTGACAGAGTATTCAAAAAATACACAAGAAGGCTGGTGTAGTGGCTCAAGTGGTAGAGGCCTGCCTACAGGCATGAGGCCGTGAGTTCAAACCTCAGTATCACTCCCCACTCTCCCAAAAATGCAAAAAAATACACGAGTATAAAAAATTAGAGTGTGATTGCCATGGGTGTCCCAGATTTAAGATCAGAAAAGCCAAGTATTATTATCCAAATGTGGGGTCCCTAGTAGAGTACCTGGAAATCCAGAACCCAATCACAGCACACTATGATGTTATCCAACACAGATTTTAACAGAATGATCTGGGGTACAGAGGTGAGAAAATATGCCAAGTGGTGAGGGAGGAAGTGGTGCTGTGAAATAGTCCTAAACAGGGAGAAGTAATATTGAAAATATTCCTCTAGTCTCTTTGGCAAAAGGCATCCTAGGCAGGGGGCACAGCATGCACAAAGGCACAAAGGGGGTTGTATGGTACCACCTGCAGGAAACTGTAAGCAACTCTGTATGTCTGGAACCTATTGGGTAAAGGAAAAATGGTGTCAAAGGCAGACAGGGTGGGTCCTAGAAGACTTTTTCAAAATAAGGATTAAGGAATTTACACTCTGCCTGGAAAAGGAAGAGAAGTGATTAAATGATTTTAAGTAAGCAGCACCATAATCAAATTAGCATTTTTAAAAGATTTTGCAAAAAGGTAGAAAACACATGAGATAGGCCAAAGTAGGAACAGGAAATGACCTAAAGTAATGCGCAAGGCGATGGTGGTCGCAGACAGCAGAGCTCAGAATGGAGAGATGTAGTAGGCATGGTAAAGAAGCAGCACTCTCAGGATTTGTTCACTGACGTATGTGAAGGTGAGGAAAGAGTCAGGCATGACTACCAGGTTTCAAGTCTGAATGTCTGAAAGGACAGACCATGGAGCTAAGGAATAAGTCAACTTATGTTTGAAAGTGTTATAAAAATAGCACACTATTTTTTTTAACACAGGCAAAAGTAGAGGCTGCCTCGGATAGAATGGATACACATCTCTGAGAAAAACCCAAAGCTTAAATTCACAGAAAAAAGTCAGAGCTAAAGAAATTCCTGTCTAACAAATGTTGATGTATGAATAATCAAATAACACAAAAGGTAATTCACTAACAAGAGAGCCATCTACTGCCTTGTAAGGATAGTGCAACAATGAAATATCATAAAAAATGTGGAAGTCTAGAGTTTTTGACCATTTCATATTGAACAGGTATTCAAAAAATACCTCACTTCCCCCTCAAAACCCCCCCCAACTGGTTGGCACGTTCAATAATAGCCAAATGTTTTCATTTACTTATTTCTCCTAAAAATATTAATCCAGTCCAAAACATTACTTGAATATAAAATGCTTACCTGCCATCATTGCTATCATACTGGCTTTGTAGACATTAGTAAGAGAGCCGAGTTCTCCTGTTGCTAAGATGGTTTTGAGATGAGCCTCCCCACAGGCCTTGCGAAACTGACGAACCTCATCATACAGGGCTGAGGAAGAAAATAATTGAGGCAGTTACAGAGCAAACAAGTGATAACATAATTTGGCAGCTGTGTGGGGCTGGTAGAACCCACTTCAGACTTAGGAAACATAAAACATTTGTCACTTGCTAAGCATCACCACAACCTAATGTTGCCTAGAGCATTCTGTTGCAGTTAAAAGGAATGCCTACAATGAAACTATTTCCAAGCCCTGGCCTAAGGTCCAGAGTCAGAGAGCTTTTTAAATATCATTACAATGATATGCAAATTATAAATAATTTCTACCTTTTCTATATGATGGTGACAGAAGAAAGAAACAAACTTATTTACCATACATACAGTAGTATACCACTTTGAAAACTAAAGAAAAAAAAAACTCCTCAGTTCCCTAATAATTCTACAACTTGTAGGTAATAGGTTCTCTTGTTGGAATATAAAGCAGAACTTTCCCAAGCGCTCTGCTAATGACAACTCAGACAGAACCATGTGCCCCACTCTCTACCAGAGTATACATTTATTTACATAGGCATTGAGCCTGGCCAAGTAGTATCAGATTGATGAGCATAAAGCTATTAGTAGTGGTGTTCAGTGACATATCCTTTAATCTATTTATCCTGATCCCATGCTACATTCGGCTTTCTACAGCTCCATGTACCACCCAGAAAGCAGATTGATTTTTTTTTAAAATATGGAACACTTCACAAATTTGCGTGTCATCCTTGTGCAAGGGCCATGCTAATCTTCTCTGTATCATTCCAATTTTAGTGTATGTGCTGCTGAAGCAAGCACCAGATTGATTTTTTTTTTATAAAACTGACTTAAAGCACACATACACAATCACCAAGAAAAGTATATATAACAACAATGAGGAAAAGGTGGTAGAATTTTAGTAAACAAAACCAATATAATGAGTATTAAATTTTTGAAAAGTTATTTAACCTCTTGTCAATGATTCTACATTTTGGCTTTTATTCTGTATCAGCCCATGCACCTTCATTTACTGAACTCATGCTGTTGTCACACTATTAGAACCAAGATGGAGTGCTTATTTTATTTGTGGGGTGGGTGGGTGGGTGGGTGGGGGTGTGTGTGGGTGTGTGTGTGTGTCTCATATGAAGTTATATAAGCAGATTAACTAAGCTGAGCACAATAAGGGTCAGGGATAGCATTCTTAATGCTGTGTTGACAGTTCCATAGTTCATAGAAAAGCACATGCAAAAGACTGACTAAAAATTAGTCTCAAGTCAGCAAACTCAGTCAAAACCCTAAAAGTTATAACAAAATGAACAAAACTTGCTTCCTTAATCCTAGCAAACCTGAACCTAACTTGAAGCTTAAAAGTGAAAATTGATACAATAAGAGCAAATATTCTAGAAGTTTGTTAACACCAGGAGATAGTACCCACAGACTTTTCAAGAAAGGATTGGGTATTTCCTGAAATTCTTAATAGTAAGTTTCAGGTGCTAGAGAAAACTTGAGATGCAATGCCACCTACATTACATTACCCTCCCACTTGCCCTAACCTGTGATAAAATCGTCCGACCTATGTATTCTAACATGACACCTTGTGTACGAATGTCACAAGCAGCAAGAGCCTAGGTAGCAATAACAATTTACATTCTCTTAACTCAGAAAGTGAATCTTGGCGGGAATGATATTTCTCAAGTTACTGAATCTAAAAGCAGAAAATTGTTCTCTGAGAACAAGTGACAAGGTAATTTCCTGACCTAACAACTCAAGAACACTAATCCAAAGTTAACTTATGATTTAATGATTCCCTTCTGCAAAAAAGTATTGCCATTGCAAGTAGATGTTAAAACCAGACAACATGCATTTAAAACCTAGATGCATCACTTCTGTGGGATCTTAGGCAAGATATTTCTCTCAGTCTCAGTTCCATCCTTAACATGTCAATAATATTTACTTCACAACATTTATCACGAGGATTAAAAAAGAAGATATGTATGAAGTACTTTGCATACTGTCTGATGTACTGTAAACATTCAAAAAGTTTATTCATTATTATTAAGTTCAGAATTCTAGTAAAATGAGTTTCTATTAAGTGATGTGTATAAAAGTCAAATCTTATTTTATGGCCTGACCCAACTCCCTGTGTAGAGTACAGTGAGCTATCAGATAAGGCTCAAAAATATGTTATTACAGCATTTGTTAAAGTGAATTTTGGCCTATGTAACAAATTCTTAAAACACTGAGCATGACATTTATGAACAAAACCACCATTCTTTTTAAAAAAGTGCTACCTTTTAAAAACCAGTAGGTTTATTTATCTATACTTAAAACTAACCAGAAAAACACCTATTTTGTGCCATTTGGGAGTTATGCTCTATAATCCACGACCCACAAGGCATGAGCCAGGTCTACACAACCAGCATGCTTCCGTTCTTTAGCTGCCCATTTCTCAAGTCATTTTAATTCACCACATGGCAGTGGTGAATAGGGCCTTTGAAACTTGAATGATGCAAAGATTAAAGAATAGTTAGAGTGTTTATTATGTAGCACCAGCAACAGTAGATCCCAGGGCCCACAGGTTGTGCGGCCCACCAGCCACCACCAGCAGTGAGGTGCCAGCAATGACCAGGAACAGAAGTACCAGCAATGGTGCTGTGACCAGACATTTCCCAGGGTACAAGCTGGCTGTACTCTCTGTTCCCCAGTCTTCTGTGGTTCTGCCTGTTCTGCAAGCCTGGTTCTCCAGGCTTCTTATTCAGAGAGCTTCTAGGTCCTCCTAATCAATTCATTTTCAGCTTAACTTACTCATAATTGGTTTCACTCATTTTCAACTCATATCTCCATTATTAAAAATATTTACTGAGGAAGCACAGCATAATGCTACTCCTTAGCTCTACAACTAATTTGTTTGGTTTGGACAAGTTACTTAGCTCTCAACCTTTGTGCTAGGTTCCTCATCTATAAAATGGGGGTAAACGGAGTTCATACCCCTCATTGAAGTTTTTCTGACCACTAAATACATTAATACATATAAAACAGTGAGGACATGGGAAAGTCAGCTACTTGTTTTCTATTGTTGGTAATGGTGTTGTTACTGATGTTGCTGACACCTTATTAAGTTCAGTGTATAGTCTCTAGTACCCATGTGCTAGCGATTCCAGCACAAATCAAGAAAGCCATAAAGAAGTATTATTAGTGTTTAGGAAGTTTTACGCACTTTGACATTAGTGATAGAAACTAGACAGTCAAAAAAAGAAGAGGGCACTGTCATTTATATTTCTTAAACATGAAATTTCACCACTTTAGGGTACTAGGAAAGCAGTACGGGCAGAGTTTACTATATATTGCAATTTTTTTTTTAACTCAGGACCCAAACTCCTTTGAATAGAACAGACAGGTAAGACAGTTATTGCTACCTGCCAGGTATGTAAGCACATAGAAATTACTCAATTTCTCTAAGCCTAATTAGTTAGGGGGACTAAGTATGCACACATTATCACTGAGAAGATTAAATAATACATGTGACTAGTCGCTAAAGCAAAGCCAGGCATTTAGTAAGCATTTCTTCCTTTATAGTAGTTGTCTGTATTTTTCTCATATACTTCCAGAAATATTTTATATTTAAAATAACTTCAAAGAATAAAATCAAGCACTGCCCTGAAATTTATGAAAACACAATTAGAGTTTGTAGATATTACATATAAGAAAAAAGAAAACATTTTATTCCAACACAAGCCAATGAAGCCACAAAGAAGCATTATTGGTATTTAGATGGTTTTGTACACCTTGACATTAGTGATAGACACCTTGAAACCTGACAGATGGTATATGCAAATCAAAGCAACTTGAAGGATGAAATGTAACCTAGTCAAGCTCAAATTATGTCTCTTACCATATTCAACTGATGTGTTCCTTTCAATATAAATGAGCTTAACAATAGGAAAATTAATGGATGAATTTTCTCCTAAATTAGCAGGAAAAGAGAAGAGTGTGAATTTACTATATTTGCTACTGAACTATACAAGTGGAGGAAATTGAAAGTGAAGTAATGAGTTAAAGAGATCCTAATTCCAAAAAATTCTAAATGAGAAATAATTACTCAAAGGAATGAGAAAGCCTCTAAGTTTTCAAAACATCTTCTCTTTAAAATGCTCAGTTTTCTACTCATCATTTCAACATTCTCTGAGAAGTAGTTATTTTGGATGTGAAATGAAAGGTACAGACATGGATGCTTGCCCAAAATCTCATCTCTAGTCCATAGAAGGATAGATGTCAGAATTCCTGTCTTCTAATGCTGAAAAAGATTTTATTCCTCAAATGTTTCTGCTTCTGTCCCAGCACACACACATGCATACATGGGCATACACATTGTAGAAATACTCTGAAGTACTTCATGTAATAGAATAACCAAAACCTAGAACCTAAAGGGAGGTCAACTCCCATCTAGTTCAAACCATTCACTTGACACTTGGGCATCATAATACTAAAACCTGATTTTCATTCTCAGAAAAAGAAGGAAAAGTTCCAAGTTCATTGAGAAACATATACTTACCTTTGTATGATTTAATATACTAAAAACAATTTATAAATTGCCCTGTTAGCCTTCTAGATAGAAACAGAAAAAGGTGTTGGATTACAGAGTTTATAGGTTTGAATCATGGCTTTTCAGCATCTGGCTGGTCACTAATTAGTTGTGTTACTTGGGAAAGTAACTGAGCCTCTACAAGCATCATTTTTCTTCCCAAGACTGGATAGGAGAGCTTCACTTTCACAGCTAAAACAATTCTCAAATAGCAAAACTATTTATTCAAGTGATTATGAAGGTGATCAGTTAATTATGCTTCAGATCTACTTTTAATAATAAGCACATATGTGTAAAATGAAGATAAACTTTAATTTACTCTGAAAGCTTAAGCTGTTTTAACTATGACCAAATTGCCTCATTACTGGCTTAGACAATTCTGAGTCATTTTGTGTATGGTGTCAGCAGGAGAGAGGCGGGGATATGCTTAGCTGGTCACTGCCATGAAAGTCAAGGA